GGAAGGAAGGAAGGAAGGAAGGAAGGAAGGAAGGAAGGAAGGAAGGAAGGAAGGAAGGAAGGAAGGAAGGAAGGAACCTCGCTATAGATCCTATCACTCTTAAGGGGAATGTTTACATTTCCTTATCTGTTCTCTTTGGTAAGAAAGGTCTTCCATCCTGTTCCCGATTTATCTCATCTGGTATGAGCCTTGTGACTGCACTGCAGTCTTCTTTCTCTAACACACAAATGTGTTCAGGCGGGTAGCCATGTTGGTCTGAAGCAAAAGAACAAAGTTTGAGTCGACTGGCACCTTTAAGACCAAAGAAGTTTAATTCTTGGTGTAAGCTTTCATGTGTATGCACACTTCTTCAGATACACAAATATGTTGGTCACCTAACTAAAAAAGGAGGTAGTAGTGACCATTGAAACCAATATGGGGACCAAATTTCATGCAAATACTTTTACATATAATTTGCCGGGGTGTGTGTGATTATGTAACATTTTTTTCATAACGAAGAAGTGTGAGTCACACTAGAACAGTGGGCTACAAGGTATGGTTCTGCAGCCAAATGTGGTTCAGTAAAGAACCTAATATGGATTTTTTTCAAAGAACAGAAAATCAAATCCAGATGTGTTGGAGTGGTAGGCTAGGAGCTAGAAAAACCAGTATGTAAAAGGAATGGCAAGCAAAAGATTTTTTATATAATTAAAGGGCCTCATAGGGTTGCTTTACAAAAACTGGGAATGAAAGAGGTGATCAGCTGCCAGGTGCAGATTTGTGCCAGTGCGCTCAAGCAATCACGCAGTGTACTTCTGTATATATCTATCACTACCTGTGAGACCTCGGGTGTGCCATTTTCTAATAAAGGACCCGCAACAACCTGTGTTTGGGCTGCAGAAGTGGTACGGATTATTAACATGTCGATTATCAGTAATATATATATATATTCAGTTATGCGAACAGGCTTCCTTATACTGGCTCTTTGTTGATCTCTTACCCTGAAAGTTGACATAATGTGGCTGTTTAATTATAAAAATTTGCAGACCCCCCACACACACACCAGAGAGTAACGAATGTATTCTGGCATTAGCTTCTGCAGCCAAGAATACCTTTGGTTTGCCTACAAATGCTCATGCCATAGTAACAGTGCAGTCTTGAGAAGAATTACACACCTAAATCCACCAAAGTCAATGAGCTTGGAAGGGTGTAACTTCTGTTTAGGATTGCACTGTAAATGTGTGAGTCTTCAAGGAACGGTAAGGCTGTTTGCTGCAAGAAACTAAAATGGCAGTCTCATACTTTTGGGTCACTGGATTTTATGGTTTTCCAGTTTCAGTTGACGTTGTTCCCAACGATAGTCTTAGAGGATTTTAAAATCCAGGTTGCAAAATATTAACCTCAGACATTTGTTGCTTTAACATTTCTACATTGTTGATCAAAGTAACAAAAATGAAGACAAAGAGAAGGTCTTTATACCCCGCGTTTCTCTACCTTAAGGCGTCTCAAAGTGTTTTAGTTTACAATCGCCCTTCCCTTCCTCTCCCCACAACAGGCACCTTGTGAGGTGGCTGGGGCTGAGAGAGTTCTGAGAGAGCTGTGACTGACCCAAGGTCACCCAGCAGGCTTCGTGTGGAGGGGCGGGGACTCAGACCTGGTTCTCCAGTTTAGAGCCTGCCTCTCTTAACCACTACACCACACAGACTCTTCTGGTTCAAATACTGAAAATCTAAATATTTCCCTGTAGGGATGTCTACAGACAGGGAGCCAAGCCTTGTAGTGACAGTGTCAGAGGAAAAAATGTGAGGTCGGCAAGAGGTGCTGGCATTTATCTAACACAAGGCAGCCTTAGCCGCAGGGCATCTGGGGGACCTGCCCCAAGCCCTGTGCTGGACAGGCCAGCAATCTCCCATGGCCGTGGGGGGAGAAAGAAGAAGAGCTGGATGGCTTCACCTGCCCCCCTGGGGCTGGGGCAATAGCTGGCAAATTTGGTGGTCATACCACATGTACAGGCTGCCAGCCCCTTTTTGAGCTCAGGCCGTGGCCAGCCAGTCACTGATGCTGTTCCTGAGGGTCTGCTAACCCCTAGAAACAATATATGGGAGGGTGCTTTCCAGAGGAAACTGGAAAGTCCTGCTCAGCAAAGCCCACAAACGATTGGATATATCCCACCAAAAAACAACTACAAAAGAGGGGTGTATTTTAGGTATATTTGAAGGAGGAGGAAGGAAGATGGAAGC